TGAATGCTCAGATTCACCGTCAGACCAACTCAGGACCGGTCCGGGCTCAGATGCACGTGCCCGCAATTGTGCAGCCCTGGTCTGACGGTTATTATTCGCTTCCAGATGCGTTGTACTCACTTATACCTACTTTTCGATAAGCTCATTACCCCCTAGGGTAGCTCGTGCGCGAGAATAGGCAGATAATCGGCAACTAATATGGCGAGTAGCTCTGAGAAAGGGCAGAGTTCGGCCTGCCTGACCCTCGAGCCCGTATAGCAATGATTCTAGGTTTCCAGACGCGTAGAATTCACCGAGATCTACATTTTGACATGCTTGTGAGCCCACAATTTTGATCTTGAAGGAAGAGCACAGTCGGACATGTGCGCTCCACTGAAAACTCTTACATCCAATTTTCCAGACAAGAATCCCTCGACTGCAAGGTCTGCTTGGCTCCATTCTCCGATCACATCCCGAGCAGTCTCCCCCGTATCCTACCTGCATGTGGACATACAATTTGCCACAATTGTGCTGTAACCATTCAAAAAATGACTTTCAACCAACTCGCTATCGCCTGCCCTTTCGACAGAACCGTCACAAACAGTACCGTTTTTTTCGATTTCTTGAGAACCCTTTGAATGTTTCAGTGAAAGCCGAGAATCTTCCAAGAAACTTTGCCATTCTCGACTTGATTGAGGAAAGAGGAGATGCGGCAAAACTGACTTCAAAAGTGAATGATATCAAAATTTGTGAGGATCCTGTTTATCCATGTTATGAGAATGAAAAGCACGAGTCGACGAAATATTGTAGAAAATGCGATGCGGATTTTTGTGATAGGTAAGGAAGAGTGCTGAGGGGGTGCTGAAATGGGCGGATTCCCAATGGAGAGGGCGAAACAGACTCGTGGAACATTATGGTATTTTTAGTTTCTGGCTCCGCCCCTTTTTCAACAAGTCAATCCTCATTAAGTTAAATTTTATTATTTTTAAAAACAAAGAGTCCCGAATTTTTTGACATGTTGTAGGAGATAATTTTGTGATTATTCCATAAGTCTTCACTCCAAAAATATAGATTTCTGGAAAAAATTTCTAGAAGGGCGGTTCGACTCGGCCCCGGTCAGCCCGGCTTACCTTGTTCCTTCCGATGTTTTTTTGCAGACCAGTTATGTCTTAAGATTGTAGAACTCGCCGAAATCTACGAATTGATTCGCTGTACTGCTCACAATTTGAACTTCGAAGCGAGCCCGGATCAGTCCAATGACTTCTGAAAAGTAAAGATAAATAGCTTTTCGGGGAAAAAAGTTTACTTTTCGACTGAAAGAGGGCGTGGCTTCCTGGAAAAGGGGTAGATCCAAAAATAAAGTGCACCATCATGCTCAGGGGACCCTGTATGCCTATTGTTCCAAGTTCCAGCCATTTCTAGAGTTCCTAATGACATCGCTATAACTATGAGTGCTAATCTATGAGTGCTAACTATGAGTGCTAATTCTTATATTGCCCAATTTCCGCCAAAAAAATTGATTTTTGATTTCCTGCTAAAGCTATCGTATGTAAACAGAATGTTCTGAGAGGTGACTTCTAGCACTTGCCATTTGAGTTCCAGGCTCACTGTATCTACCGTTATCCTACAGTAATCTTAATCTTTTTTGTGTTCTATTGGGCTCCCATCGATACTACATGCAAAAAAACACAACAAAAACATCTCTCATTTCAGCTGCTTCCTCTCAGTCCACTCGTCCAAAATCCTCTCCAGCCATCAATCCTATTCAGTCTCCCATCGACGATTCCGACTTCCAAAATGCTCAATGCATTCGAATAACATTGTGTTTCATTTCTGCAATGACAAAGAATGCAAAGCCTCTACCCCTCTCTGTTGCAATACTTGCATGCAAAGCCTTCACGAGAATCATACTACAGTTCCGATTGAAGAGAAAGCCGAACAGAATGAACGTCAACTATTGAAACTTCTTGCAACCCTGAGTTGGACTGAAGGAAAAAAGGAAGAAGCTCTTCAACAGGCAAAACAAAACGTGGAAAGTTTAAGCAGAAGTGACTCTGAATATGAAGAAGTATCCACGGAAATCAAAATTGAGCGTGATTTGGAGAAGATAAGGGAAACAAAGAAAGAAATTGAGGACATTTTGGAGAAGAGGGATACATCTTTATTGCTCAGTCAAAAAATTGTTGAGAAAGGAGAGGCATTGTGTAAGGAAGGTAAGTGGGGAATACCATTGAGAACTTTATTACCTTCAATTAGTCGCTTTGAATTTTTAGATTCCCGCCAAAATTTTTGAATTTTTGAATTTCCGCCGAAAATTTCAATTTTCAATTCCGGCTAGGAATTTTCATTTTTAGAATTCCAGCTTAGATCTTTGAACTTTTGAATTCCGGCTAAGAATTTTGAGTTTTTGAATATCCGCCAAAATTTTCGAATTTTTGACTTCCCGGCAAAATTTTTGAATTTTTCGATTCCCGCCAAAATCTTTGAATCTTTGAGTTCCCATCAAAATCATCATATATGGACAGAATGTTCTAGAAGGTAACTCCCTTTTCTGGGAGGTAAAGAGCGAATGCCAATAGAGTCTACTTTGACTACCGTAATTCTACCGTAATCAGAATAAACACGTTTTTCTGATTGTATATTTTCAGCCACTGTGGTCCCTATCCCCATGCCGACTATCCAAGAAATCGTCCACTCAACACCCAAAATCGCCAAGCCAGTAAGGATAGCAAGGCAACTTATCAACTATAGGACCTGGTTCAAACCAAAATGATTTCGTTTTTTGTTAGAAAAAAATCATGTTTGTTAACTTTCGGGTCCATTTTTACGTTGTAAACGCTTTTTTTTTCGTGTGTGTTACTGATACGTCAGGTTCTAGATGAGACAAGTAAAATTGATGACAAAAGTTCGTCGAATAAAATTTCTCTGTAAAAAACTTGTAAATCATGAAGAAAATTGATATAACAGCATGAACAGCCTGTAAATGTAGGCTCTAGGCAGAAGTTCAGGCCCTAGACTCATTCGTTTTCCGAGTTTCGAGTTTCAAAAGTCTCTCCAAACCAGCAAGCTAAGCTAATCAACACAACAATAACGAAGGACCGCGCAAGATATGGACCAAAAAGAGGGTGCCACGCAGACTCTTTCCCCATTGTTTGCCTCCTGGTTCTTCGTGACAGACGGTTGGACCCAACGGAACATCTCCGCCCCCCGCAATAGGACCGCACGGTTTCCGATGCCGTTGTCGCACAGCATAGGGGAGGAATGGCCCTTTATTGACGGGTGGTTTGACTGCCCTTGTTTTTTATTATTTGCATATTTCTTTCCCGGCCCGTCGACATCGGGCACGAAACAATTATGAAACAACCGACTTTTCTATGGTTTTTCTGATTTTTTGACATGAAAAGATGTATTAGAACACGCTGAACTCGAAAAATATGGTTTTGAGAGGGGTTCATTACTTAGTTTTTGAGATAATGCGCTATTTGTAACAAAAAAACACAAAAACTCAACGGAAAATCGATGTTTTCAACAATTATTATCTCAAAAACTAAATAATGAAGCCCTATCAAAATCAATGTTTCCGGATTTAGCGTTTTCAAATACATCTTTTCATGCAATAAAATCAAAACAATGCTAGAGAATTCGGCTGCGTCATAGTTGTTTCACACGCGCGTTTATCCGTGCCGTGACTGCCTTTGTTTTTATTATTTGCACATTTCTTTGCGGACAAAGTTCATTTTTTAAGGATGCCACCATCATACAAAATTCGGAAATTTATGAAATTCAAGAAAAACACTCCGGCCACTCAAACCATTAATGTGGATTGGATTCGTCACAGTTTAGGAGCATTGATGTCTCATAATCTGCCAGAAGGGTGGTTTAATGTTGATGAAGGTGAGACATATTAATTCTAGAATCCTTTAACTCAAAAAATGTTATCTTATTATCCATTCCAGAGACTGATAACTCATCCGGAAATCAACGGATAACGATCAGTTATGAACCAAATGGACGTCTGTACGATGAAGGACTTAGAATCTTATTGACGGACAATTTGAATGAAGCGCCTACGAGAATTTTCCAGGTGGAAGTGGTAGAGGAGGAGGAGAAGGATGGAGCGCGTCCAAGTGGTCTTTGGGGAGATCTGCCCTTTACTCATGCCTCAAGTTTGTCACATTCAAAGTAAGTTTTTTATCACAATTGATCTCGAATTCTATCCAATTTTTTACCATTGTTTCCCAATTTCAGACAAGCATCCATCGAGTGCCAAATCTGTGGCGAGCACTATTCCGACACCATCTCTAGTCGCATCCCTCGAATTTTAACCGAATGCGGTCACACTTTATGTCACTCCTGCGCTGAAACTATTCAGAAAATGTCTCCCGATCAGATCTCTATTAAATGCCCGATTGATAGAATTGTTACGAAAGGTAAACTTTACTGTCTCCAATAGCTTAAAATGACAGCTTCATCAATGCATGGGGAATTTTAAGGGGGAAAAAAAGGGCGCAGTCTCTTGTAGACAAGTAGAGACAGGGCGCTTTTTCGGCCGCATAGCGCAGTCGGCAGCTATTTTGGTGGTCTGTCAGACCGACCCCGAGTTCAAACCCACCTGAGGTACATGAATTTATAATATCTGGGAAAATGTTTTTTTTTTGAGTTCCCCCCTCCTTTAAAGTGCTATTTTCTGGTAATGAAAAACCGAATAACCTGTCTGTACTTTTATCAACAATGTGGTTGAAACCTTATCATTGTCCATATTTCAGTAAAAGTCGAGAAGCTTCACAAAAACTTCGCCCTTATTGACTTGATCCGGGACAGGAGTGACGAGGAAAAGTTGGCTGAGAAGATGGGAGCTGTCGGAATTTATGTGGATCCGATTCTGCCATGTTATGAGAATCCAAGGCACGAAGCGACCAGATATTGTCCATCGTGTCCTGCGGACTACTGTGATAGGTAAGGAGAATTAACTTAAAGGAGGAAACTCAAAAAAAATAATTTCTCTGAAAATTTGACAGTAGATACCTCCGTTGGATTTGAACCTAGGGTCCATTTGGCTGAACAGCAAAAGCGCTACCAGCTACGCTAGGCGGCAGGGAAAGCGCGTCGACTCTGGTTGCCTTCAAGCGCCGGGGCCTATGTGCCATTGTTATACAAGTCTGTTTCAGCTGCTTCCTCTCAGTCCACTCTTCAAAAATCCTCTCCGGTCACCAATCAATTCCGATCTCCGAAAAACCAGTTGAAATTCCAAATTGCCCTAATAATCCGGACAAAATTGCTGAATACTTTTGTCAAGACAAAAAGTGCAAGGCTGCCAGCCCTTTGTGCTGCAGAAAATGCTACAAGAAGCATCACAAACATCATGACATGGTCACTCCTGCAGAGAAAATCGACGTAAACCATATCAAGCTAACGGGTCTTCTTCGAAGCCTTCGATTCACTGAAATTATGGTGTCTGAAGCTCTCAAGGAAGCAGATCGATGCATAAAAAGTACTAGCAAGACTGGGACCGACTATCGGAAAATGGTTTCATTGATTCATGAACATTTCAATCGGAATAAGGATGAAGCTATTCAGAATTTGGATAGTTATGTGGAGCATAAAAGAGAGGGTATGGAGTTGGATAAGAAACATATTGAGTATGATATGGGACTGATCAAGGAGACAAAGAAGGAAATTGAGAAGGTCTTGAAGAGGAAGGATCTATTGTTCGCCCAAGAAATCATTGACAAGGGAGAGGCGGTGCGTAGTTTGGAGGATAGAAAAGAAGGTATGTTTTGGAATGAATAATTTTTAATTTTTCGGTATCCCAGTACTAAATTTCAGCATTTCAGAGTCTGTTTTATACAATTTTCTCTCTCAACCAACTGATTTTTTTCCAGCCAACTTGGTCCAGCTTTCCCTGCCATCCCTGGAAGAAATCATCGGCTCATCCAAGCCTCCTATTCCATCTCATCGGACTCCAACTCCACCAAAAGTTCCACCACCGCCTCCACCACGATCTTTTCGTGCTTCGCCAATTTTGAGCACATTTTCTTGAGTTGGCTGCCTTGGTCTATCATTTTTCGATTGTTCAAATAACATTTCAACCTATTTTTTCTGCCTAATACCCTTTTTGCTGTCAGTCCAGACTTACCTTCAGCCTTTCTTGATATTCTTCGGGTCCGTTTTTACATTGTACTTTTTTCTTTTTTTACCATTTTTGGTCTTATTTCGGCGGATTTAAATTTTTTTTTTCATCGATAAAATGTGCTAAGCATCGCGAAATCTATATACAGTACCTTGCAACAACCATGACCGAGAGCTGTATTTTTTGAAAATTCTGATCCGGCAGGCACGAAAAAATTCAAGTCTGTGCATAATTTTTTTTTTTCTTTCCCAGCAGATACTATTTTTCCAATCCCATTCGACGTTTCCCAGCTGCAAATTTGTCTAGAAACACCGAGATCTCCTATCCGCAAACATTAATGACCTCTACCAAAAAGAGGAGGCCACGAATACTCTTCTATCCAGTGCTCGCCACCCATTTCTTCGTGACAAATGGCTGGACCCAACCGAACATCTTCACGGAGTCCGCCCTCTTGCAATTGGACCGCACGGTTTCCGATGTCGTTGTCCCACGGCATAGGGGAAAGTGGCCCCTTATTGACGGGTGGTCTGACCTTTCCTCCATTCGGGTGTTCTTCTTTTATTTGGTTTGTAAGCCCTTTCTTAACAGTTTTTCGGCTCTGTTCGATTGTCGGCCATAATGATTTAGGCAAATTTTTTAGCATTTATCAAGGTTTTTATTTTCTTTTTTTTTTAGTTGGAATTTTTTTGGAATTGCGTTTCTTAATTCGCAAACCATTTTTCAAACAATATGTTCTCTTTCAGAATGACACAATCATTTATGCAAATACATAGAACTATGAAATTCAACAAGAACGTTCCTAGCACGAAAACCATCGATGTGGATTGGCTTGATCACAGTTCAGGGGTATGGATATCCGAGTGTCTGCCGAAGACGTGCTTCACGTTCCGTGACGATGAAGGTGAGACGGTTTAGAGAAAGTGGGAGCCAGAGTTGATCGAATAGTTATAAGGTTTTGAAAACTTTTCGAAATAACTTTTGATTTTCCCCAAAAATATTAAGGAAAAAACTTTTTTTGCCGGAAATAAAGTTGAAGATTCTGTGTCAGCTGCAAAAAGGTCCGAGCGAGCCGGACAATTCGTCAGCCCGGCTTTTTGACTTGACTTCCTTCTTCATTTCAGTTATGGGAAGAACCCGCGCAATCCGACGGTTAACGGTCAGTTATCAACCGGTTGAACATGAAGAGAGAAGAATCTATGACGAAATACTCATTATATTGACCGACAAGATGCGTCGAGCACCTACTGTAAGATATGTAGTGGAGTTGGTAGACACGGAGGAGGATGGAGAGATTCCAAGTCGTCTTCCAGGATATGGGGACATCTCTCTTGATCCAAGTTTGTCGCATTTAAAGTAAGTTAGGACTTTTTTCATCTGACATATCAAGAGATGAAAAACATCTTCTCTGTTGCTCATAAAATCAATATTTATCAAGTTTTTCATCACTGTTTCAGACTATCTTACCTCTTATATCTCCAATTCCAGAAAAGTATCCCTCGAGTGCGAGGTCTGCTGCCAAGCATATTCCGACACCAACCCCAGTTGCATCCCTCGAATTTTAACCGAATGCGGTCACACTTTATGCCACTCCTGCGCTGAAACTATTCAGAGAATGTCTCCCGATAAGCTCTCTATTAAATGCACAATTGATAGAATTACTACCAAAGGTAAACTTTGCTGTCTTCAATAACTCAAAATGATTTCAGTGAAAATGCAGTTAAAACCATTCCATATTTCAGTAAAAGTCGAGAAGCTTTGTAAAAACTTTGCAATCATTGACTTGATCAGAAAGAGGAGTGACGAGGAAAAGTTGACTGAGAAGATGGGATCCGTCGGAATTGATGAGGATCCGATTCTGCCTTGTTATGAGAATCCAAAGCACGAAGCGGTCAGATATTGTCTATCATGTGCTGAAGATTACTGTGATAGGTAAGGAGAATCAACTTAAGTCCATGATTTTAGCTTATTTTAACGAGGCTATCATTCTCATTCGGCCAGCCAGACATCAATCTCATTCTATCAATAAAAACTGGCCAAAAAACAGGAAAAATTCTAGTTATACGAGTCTATTTCAGTTGTTTCCGCTCGATCCACACTGCCCGAATCTTTTCCGAGCATCTCTCCATTTTGATCTCCGAAAAACCTGTCGAAATTCCATATTGCCCTAACAATCCGGACAAAATTGCTGAATACTTCTGTCAGGACAAAAAGTGCAAGGCTACCAGCCCATTGTGCTGCAATAAATGTTACAAGAAGAATCACAAGCATCATGATATGGTCACTCCCGCAGAGAAAATCAAAGATAACCAGAGAAATCTGACGGATCTTCTTCAAAACCTTCAATTCACTGAAATTATGGTGTCTGAAGCTCTCAAGGAAGCAGATCGATGCATAAAAAGTACTAGCAAGACTGGGACCGACTATCAGAATATGGTTTCATCGATCCATGAACATTTCAATCAGAAGAAGAAGGAAGCTGTTCAGAATTTGGATAGTTATGTGGATCACAAAAGAGAGGGTATGGAGGCGGATAAAAGGAATATCGAGCATGATATGGAATTGATCAAGGAGACGAAAAAGGAGATTAAGAAGGTTTTGAAGAGGAAGGATCTATTGTTTGCACAGGAAATCATTAACAAAGGGAAGGCGATTCGAAGTTTGGACGATAGAAAAGAAGGTTTGTTTTAGAATGAACAATTAGGAGTGTGTTTTTCTCAACCAACAGATTTTTCCAGCCAACTTGATCCAGCTTTCCCTGCCGTCTCTGGAAGAAATCATCGGCTCATCCAAGCCCCCTATCCCATCTCATCGGGCTCCAGCTCCACCAGAAGTTCCACCAGCGCCTCCACCAAAATCATTTTGTACTTCACCGATTTTGAGCACATTTTCTTGAGTTGTTCATCATTATTTAGTGGGTCTCTCTGTCCTCAATTATATTTCAAATTATTTTTTCGCCCTAATTTCCTTTTTGCTGTCAGCCCTTTTCCGGGTCCGTTTTTAAATTGTACTTTTTTTTTACATTTTTGTTCCTGATAAGGCTGATTCAATTTTTTTTTCATCGAGGGAACGCGCTATGCGTCGCGAAATCTACATACAGTACCGTCCAAAAACCATAACCGAGAGCTGAATTTAAAAAAAATTCAAAGCTGTTCATCATTTCGACCTTTCCTCTCCAGCTGCTCCGTCAGATACCTTTTTCTGGTTAAATTCCATTCGACATTTCCCTGCTGTGAGATATTTGCGGCACCGAAAACACCAGGCTCTCCTATCCGTAAACAATTAACGAGGAATGCTGACCCCTACTAAAAAGAGGGTGCCACGAACACCCTTCTACCCAGTGTTCGTCACTCATTTCTTCGTGACAGATGGCTGGACCCAACGGAACATCTTCACGGAGTCCGCCTCCTTGCAATTGGACCGCACGGTTTCTGATGCCGTTGCCGCACGGAACAGGGGAGAAGTGGTCCCCTTATCGACGGGTGGTCTGACCTTTCCTCCATTCGGGTGTTCTTCTCATTCATTTTTGGGTTCGCAGGTTTTTTCTAAACATATTTTGAGCTTTGTTCGACTGTTGGCCTAATGATTTTTGGCAGTTTTTTCAGAATTTATCAGGGATTTTTCTTATTTTCCCTCCGCACGAGAAATTAGTAGTGTCAGGAGCCAGATTTTTTGTGACTGCCTCCAGCGCGGTAATTGCTGTTCCGCGAGGCGGGAGGATGCGCAATGGTGCGTGAAGAGGGGAAGGAGGATTACGGTTGATCGTTATCACCTTATCACCTTATCAGTAAATTTTTTTTCATATTTTTCTCCTATTCCGAAAATTTTTCCAATTTCACCAGTCAGGTCCCCTGAACCTCGAGGCATTTCCCCAGTTTTTGATGATTCGGTTCCAGAAAAAGTTTAGTTGGTTTTGTTAGTGGTAGAAATGCATTTATTGAGATTTCACATAAGTTTTCATACAATAA